GAGACGAGAGAACGCAAGGGCGGCACAAAAAAATAATGGGCGGTCGGCGACGAGTAGAGCAGCAGGCGCGTACGGGGTAGCCGTCACTCTCCCGCCTCAAAAGGGCGGGGCTGTCCCGGAAAGTGAGAGACGCCGGGCAGCGTGGCGCATTACTGAACCCTCCCATACGTGCTCGTACTCCTCCTTCGCTGTCCCATCTCCTCGTCTCTTTCCCGCCTGGGCGGGGCGGTGGGCGTGCGCGCGGTGCGGCATGGCGTGTGCGTGTGCGTGACTGCAACGGAGGACCGCTCGCAGAGGACCATTGGGTTTGTACTATTAACAACGAAGGCGCTCTCAAAAAATAAGAAATTTGATCGTCGACGGACGAGTCGAGGAAACACTCGAAAACACGCCCAGCGGTGAAGACTCTGGCGTCGCCCTCGGAGCGGGCGCGCTGCCGTTCTGGCTCCTGGGCATCTCGCTGGGCCAGCGTCGGTGGCCCGCGCCGCATTCCCCGGTCGCGCATGTTCCCAGAGCTCCTCCTCCCCGCTCAACTCCCTCTCCGTCCGCCGGCGCGCTCGCGTGCGGGCGATCACTGGCCGCCTGGCGTCAACGCAGTGCCGGCGAGGGTGGGGCGGAGGCGCCTGAACCGCCTTCGCAACGAGGCTCACATCGGGGCTCCTTTTGCCGACGCGCCCGAGCTGACGTTGCGCGGTCCTCCCGACGGGCCGCCCCCCGAAAACGATGAGCTTCCGTGGTTCCAGCGCGGCACGTCCTTTACGGCGCTCGCTGCGCGTCTCGAGCGGCTCGGGATTGACCTGTCCCTGGACGAGGACTCGCGGGCTCCGGTGCTAGAGGACGACTGGGTGGTGGTGGACGAGGATGCTGCTCCCGCCACCGCCTGCGCCACGCTGCCTTAAAACAAAGCCGCTTCTTCCTAGCACACCTAGAACAAGTCGGAGACTCATTTCAGTGTGCACGATGTGTGTCTGTGAACATTAAAAAGGCGATCACCTTAGTCTCGCGCCCCCCGGCGCGCAGGCCCAGGCGCACCCCCCCCGGCCGCGGCCCCCCCCCCAGCGCCCCACAACACAAATAAATAAATAAAACGGACACCTCTACTAGGAGATGGGTAAAAAGGAACAGGTCCCCGCCCTGCGGTCTTTGTGCAGGGTTCTTTGTGGGTGTGGTCGGCGACTAGCCGGGGTCGTCCTCCCGATGGGGGACTAGCACTAGCCGTCTTCCACATGGTCCCTCGGGTCCCTGCTGCTCCTAATCTCGTCGTACATCCTCCTGCTGATCTCCGCAACATCCTGCTCCCTCCCTCGTCTCGCCCTGCGCGTCTGCTCCGCCTCCCCGTCGTCCGCCCTGCGTCGTCTGGTGACGGGTCCTCCATAGTCGGTTGAGGTCGCCGCCCTCCTCGTGCCTCTTCCCAACGTTCCCTCGGCGGCCGATGCCGTCTGCTCCGGCTCCCCAGTCCCCGGGTCTGCCCTGCCCTCGTCTGCGCTAGCTTCTGTTTCGTCATCACTGATGTCCGTCCTCTTCTTTCTCCTCTTGTTGTATGCTTTGTACATCGCGTCGATTCCTTTTCGCGTGAGCACCAGCCTGAAGCCCGCCCAGCAGCTGAACCGCTCCTTAAGTCGAAGGAGCATCATCAGTCTCACCCACTTCGCTCGCTGCCGACTGTCTCCGCTCCCTCCCGCTTGGGCCGCCGTCGCGGCCCTCGTTCGTCCCACTGGCTGTTGGCCTGTCCCCTCGTGCCCCACAACACGAACAGACTACACACACGAATTTTTTTCACATCGTTTTGAACGATATGAAAACGATATTTGACCCTCACCCCCACCGGCGACCGGGACTAACCGTCGTACGAGAGTTCGCGCGCCCCCGGCGCCCACCAGCATAAATTAAATGCAAAAAAGCGCTTCGGCGGTAGTGATCTAATCACCCGAATACCACGTTCGGATCGCTCCTCATCGCAAACCCTGTCAGCAGTTCACCTACGGGTATGTTCGTAAGAGCTAACATACACTGAAAAATGGAGCTAGGCTAAAGGGTGTGGATGCTGGGTGGGTTCACGAAATCCGGGGACGCGACCCACTTCGCCACAGACGATCCCGCGCCTCGCCGCGAAGACAAGCGGCGCGTGCCACTGTCTTTGTCCGGAGTGAGTACTCCAACGCGCTCGTCGGTGACGGTGTCCCCGGATTTCGCCGCGCTCGGCGAACCTCGACAGCGCCTTCGGTGGCATGCAGCTCTTTGCGACAGAAGCCTGGAGAGCAGCTCCTCTGCTGCTCACACACTCTGCACAGTTGACACAGCCTGCTGTGCGGCTGCCACAGCTGTGACAGCGATGGGCTCGCCCTCACTGGCCCTCAGTCACTTGTGCTGCGGCTTGTGTGAGCGACACTGCTCGGCGACTGCCGGCACACTGTGAGACCATGGGTGTGAGGTCAAACCACGCTACCAGCGCTTGGTCACATCGGCCCCGAGGTCAGATCCATCTACTCTGTTGATGACAAGACTTGTCTACCGGCTGGAGCCGAGCAGGAGGGCCCGGCGCACAACCCCCTGGTCAACTCGACCCTCCACACCCCGAGGGTTGCGCAGCACCGCAGCTATGAACAGGAGCGAGTTCGCGCTGCGCTAGGCTCAGACGGCGAGTTCGCGCTGCGCTAGGCTCAGTACGGCGAGTTCGCGCTCTGCGGCCTGCACCGCTAGGCCTATAGCGTTCCCTAACGTTAATTTGCATTGGGGGCCTAACAGTTGCGCTATTGTTACGGCGGGAGGCGCTCACGTTGCCATGCTCCCAATGCCAGACCCGAGCGACATTCAGGTGGTCGGCGCGTGCTCAGAGAAGACGCCAAAGGCGTGGGAGCTGAACAAGGAGGGATGCGCCATTATCGCAGACCTCTTCGGTACGAATGGCAGCAGCTTCGCCGGCCTCAAGCCGCTGAGATCGGTGAGCTCGTTGTTGTGAGCACACTTGGGGTTGTGTCTGAAGGCGGTAGACTTGCTCATAGGTGGTCTCCTAGGCCAAGACGCTTGCGGCGGCGCAGGCGGCGGCGCAGGCGGCGGCGCAGGCGGCGGCGCAGGCGGCGGCGCAGGCGGCGGCGCAGGCGGCGGCGCAGGCGGCGGCGCAGGCGGCGCACCAGTGCGAGCAAACCGTGCAACGAGGCGACCGCCGCCACCGGCCTCCACCGCGGCCGCACATCGCCTGATCCATCTCCAACACTCGGCCCACTCTTATAACACCAGGCGCTCGGCACGGGGCCCGGGGGCGTGACCTGAATAGCTAGACGTGAACCCTCGAGAGCCCACCGCGCGCGGCCTTCCCGGCGCCTCCCCGGCGCCGCCGCCGCGACGCTGTATCACTCACATCTGAACACCCAAGCCGCAGGTGTACCGATCGTGGAGCCAGTTCTGCTGCGGTGGAAAGGAAGGTGGGCATCCGTGGACAGCAGCGTGTAAACGCTCGCTGTGCACGAGTGCCGCGGGTGAATACCGCAAGAGCTTACCGGCGGCTGAGCAGGCGACCCTACCACAATTCTCGCCGCTGAGGGGTGAGTACGGCAGCACGGTGGCGGAGACAAGCAAGTGGACATACTGGGTGTGCGCTGCCCATGGCGCAGCCCACCTCACCCCACCGCACCTCGCCCCGCCCCATCCCACCTGTTCGATTCATTTATTTAGAGTTTTTGTGCTCGTTCAGGTGGACGCGGCCATGATCTTCGAGACACAAGTAAAGATGACCCAGAAAATGATGATATCTGCAGATGCAAAGGCGAAGCTCGCAGACTGGGGTAATAGGGAGGGACAAGACTGGAGCGGCTCTCTGCACATCGCGGCCCCAAAGGCCCCGCGGGATGGTGAGCGGGGTGGCAAGATGAGGAAGGCGGGGTCCTCTAGCGAGGGACGAGCCGGGGAGGGGAGGCGGAAGGCGCGGGGGCGGGCCTCGGCTTCGCGGGGGAGGGGAAGGAAGTAAAGCACACGTCTCAAATCAGATTCAAGTAATCAAGACACCTTTTGAGGATGAAACTCGCACATGCACGCGCCGCCAAGCATGGGAAGCATGCTGATATGTGTCTCAATTATACGGAAAAACGCCACCCAACCCTGGTACTTAGGTGAGTTTCCCGTGACATTTTTTTCACGGCTGTGGGACGGACGGCCGTCGCGATGCAGACAGGCGGGGTCGACACTGACCATGCTTCAAAATCGTCTCGAACACGGCTACACCACGGCCCACCCCAAGCGCAACCCTGGCGAGCTGCTTCCTGCAGCGGAGGACTGCACACGCGGGGCGAGGTCAGCTTCTGTGGTTGGTTGGTACGACAAGTATGCTTCCACCTGCGGGGATTACATGCCCGACACAGGCAAGCTGATTGTGCCTCGTCGCACTCGCAAAGAGGAGTGGGACGAATACAAGGCAGACCTCGGGGACGACGCCGTCTCCTACGAGACGTTTTGCAAGGTGGTCCGCAACAGTGACGGTTTGACGCATGTCAAACGCGCCCGGGCGATTCTCAACTTCCAGAAGTGCACAACCTGCGTCAATCTGGACGCGAAGGTGAACTCAACCTGCTTACGCTCTTCGGCCTGGGATGGTACGGCCTGAGCAGTATGCTTCATTGGCATTCTCATCTTAGCACGCTTGTCGGCCGGGAGAGTGTCCAGCGACGTTGGTGTATGCTCTGCCCAGTCATCCCACTCCTTTGCATCTTCCTCCGTGATCACAGAGGGCAGTTTGTCCCGGGTCTTTGATACTGCCGCTCGTACCGCAGCAGGGTCGAGCCGGCGGTTGCTGCCAGGACCCAAGATGAGGAAGGCGGGGTCCTCTAGCGAGGGACGAGCCGGGGAGGGGAGGCGGAAGGCGCGGGGGCGGGCCTCGGCGGCGCGGGGGAGGGGAAGGAAGTAAAGCACACGTTTGAAATCAGATTCAAGACACCTTTTGAGGATGAAACTCGCACATGCACGCCAAGACCTCACGACTAGCTACTTCCGCGCCGTCGCGGCTAGTACTAGCTTGCTGGCTCCGGGTGCTGAGCCCGGGTCCAGTCCGAGTCGGTCTTCACCAGAAGGGCAGGTTGATGGCCTTGCAACCATCCTAGTTCGCGGTATATCAGGTGGCGCACCAAGGACATGTCCCCCTGTGACCACTTGGAGCGATCGATGGACATGCCGAAGGCGCGGCGCCGAACAGCCTCGATGGCGAAAGGCCCGCAGTCCACACCGTTTTCCTGCTGCGGCATCTCATCAGACACCGTGATGGTCGAGGGAGTGCTGGTGCGGCGGTAAAAGCGAAACTCGCAAACCACCCAGTGGAAAGAACCATTGTGCCATGGAGCAAGGATGGTCCATCGCACGCCCTGCTTGACCCACCGCCTGATATTCGCTCGCTGTTCACGCCGCAGCACACTCCACGCGGCGCGGTGCTCGCCTTCCATCAACTTCTGCGCGAAATAGGTGCTCGCGCACACGACGTTATTGCTCTTGGTTGCGGTGCGCTCCACCAGAGAACCGTGAAGGCTGATCACATCGTCGTCCACAGCTTCGCCGTTCAGGAGCCGAGTCTTGGAGCGGGCAGTGTGCGGCTCAAACCCGGAAGCATGAGCCTGCTGCTCCTCATCCGACGAGCGCTCATCCGACGAGAGCTGGACGACGGTTGCGTCCTCTGGACGCGTGTACCGCTTCTCCTTCTTCGGCGTCGGCCCTTGGTCTTCAAGCGTGCCACTTGTAGCATTGCGCGATGGTGCAACCTTGCTGAGAAAGAAGGCGCCTCCACAAAATTTGGTAAAGCCATCGAGCACGAAAGCCGCAAGCGTGTTGGAATCGGACGCCACCATGGAATCGTAGAAGGTCGCCGACGCGATGTGGTTCGAAATCGGTTCATCCGCGTCGTCGATACCGACGCGCGGCGCGGCGAGCTCGGCGGCCGACTTCTCCGCAGTGGCTGCGTAATAGCCGAGGAGAAGTGACAGTTGTTGCTGTTGGTGCTGTCGGTGCTGCTCCAGCAGGTCATCGAGGGTGAGCGCCTCCTCAGAGTCGCGACCAGTCTCTGCAGCTTCTGAGAACCACGCAGCTTCGCGCGTCAGCAGCGGCTGTAGCCACTCTGCGTTTGGCAAACGAGCGGCCCAGCACTGCGCAAATGCGGGGTTGTGTTGCACCCAAAAAGGAAAAGCGGACGACGGAAGTGCGTACGCCGTCAGCAGCTGCTCAGGTGGCTCGAGGGGGTTCACACCGGGGTTGGACTCTCCCTTGGCGGAGGCGGCGTCCCCGGGGGAGAGGCTCGAGGGCATCCCTTACTCCCTCACCGCTATTCGCGGTTGAGCTCCTTAGCCTTCACGTGGGGTGGAAACGTCGCCCAGAGATGTTTGCATGGTGTCCACGCAGCCGTGTACGAACTATGCGGATTTCAACCGACTATGCGGTTTTTATTAGCTAGTCTGTTAGGAGCTCCGCG